ACTATTTTAGTTAGTGAAATTGACTTATTTTCTTTTTGGAGTTTCTATCAGATTTTTGTCTTAAGGTTTTTAAAGTTTCATAATATTAATATACTCAATGTTAAATTTTAAGTGTGAGGCTACACTGTCTGATATAGTAGCTACCAGTACATGTGGCAATTTAAACATAATCATTAAAATAAAATAAAACATTCAATTCCTCAGTCCCACTAGCCACTTTTAATTGCTCAACTGCTACCATATTATATGGTGCAGGTGTCACACTCAAAACACAGAAAATCTCTCTCTCTTTCTCAGCTTTAAAATTCTAAAGCTTTTTCCATTCCTGTTGTAAGTGCTATTGAAGCTACCCAAGTCATAAGTCTCCACATCATATTCTTGAAGCACTAAGAAAATATTCCCAGACCAAATCATTCTTCACCCACGTGAAACAAGAAGCAATCATCATACAAATGAACCTGTATTTTTTACGCAACAGTAAAGGAACAAGTCCTTTAATCTACTGGCTATAAGGCAATCTTTATACAGTAAGTCATGTATAATACTAATACCAAAGAAACAAAATCAAAAAACTTTAATGCAAAAAGTACCCCTCTCAAGAAAGGGCAATGGCAAATCGATCATTAAGTTTTAAATTCCTTTTCATTCCCTTGTATAATAGATAACATCATAATATGACACCTAGAGTAAACTTTGACCTCCAGCTTTATTATAAGTGACAGATATAGTTACAGAAAACAAAAAACAAAAGAAAACAAAAAAAGCTGGTATTCCAGTGACTTCATCTATTTCAAACCAAGAAAAGTTAAATCCAAAGAACTCTTTTAGAAAGCAAGCTTATTTTTAAATTCTCTTTTATTCAATTCTAATGCGTGGCCATCAACTAAGCCAATTTTGGAAAATTAGAATACCTGCAGAGAAAACTCATTTCCTTTGTTAAAAGCAGAAAAGTACCAGCTTATTAAGAAGGAGCCTTTTGTTTTCAGACCACGTGCTAAAAAGTTTCTTTTTAATAAAACTTCAAAATATTGTTTTTAAATCAACAGAATTCTTCCTGTTCTCTAATCTTTACAACACTGAAAATTTGTGCCCCAAAAGTTTATAAGGATAGTCAACAAAAGATCTTCCCCTTTTTAATTTTTAATCACAACTGCCTTTGAAAATGATTCAGCATCCATTTAAACCCACAAATAAAAGCTTTATTTTTATTAGTTTTAATTAAAACTGCTATTTATTATAGGTGTTTAAAATCTAAAATACAAGTCTTTCTTCTAGACAAATGAATTGATTCACATTTCATAATATTTCTTTGTTTGAAGGAGTGCTTTAAAACACTACTCTACCAGGAAGGAAAAATTCTAGTAATTTAGTTTTAATACTCCTTTCATACTTTTGAATTCTCAGAAATTCAGCTATTGTTGATAAGTTGACAAGACTATGTCAGATGTCAAAAGTTATACGTTCAGTATTTTAAATCTATTAACTCCAAATGTCTATCTACATAATAACTCAAATAAAAGGTCCTAATTTTAGGGCTTCCCTGGTGGCGCAGTGGTTGAGAGTCTGCCTGCCGATGCAGAGGACACAGGTTCGTTCCCTGGTCCGAGAAGATCCCACGTGCCGCGGAGCGGCTGGGGCCGTGAGCCATGGCCGCTGAGTCTGCGCGTCCGGAGCCTGTGCTCCGCACGGCGCCACAACAGTGAGAGGCCCGCGTACCACAAAAATAATAATAAAAAAAAAAAGTTTCTAATTTTAATCTTTGTTTCTTCTCAATCAGTTTTACTTTTTTGATACAATAATGTATACCACATACAATTCCATTTGTATGAACTGGGGGAGGGAATTTGGGGTAGGAGGAAAGGAAATATTACTGAACACACACACAATAATCTGAACACCTGCCCTTGTGTGAAAATCTTAAGATTTTCATTTTTATTAAAATCTTCATTTGTCTCCTAAAGGAGTGGGTTTGTGTCAAACCAAAATGATTCTCTCCCTCTTTTGAAATAATGACCCGTTTTATGTTCTGCTTGGTTAATATGTGCTTCTCCTGGACGCCCAGTTTATATCAGAAGTGAAAGGACCTGCTCTGCAAGGGTGTCCCTCTCGGGAGGTAAATGGAATAGCTCACATAGGCTGTGATTTGAGTCTTTTTCAGGAAAAGGGTTCTGCAGCTCTTCAGTCCTCCAAAAGTATCAGGAGGGCACAATAGTATAGATTTGGTATAACCTTCCCCATTTTTGGAAAATAGTTAACAAAATTCAGTCTTTCAAACATCTACTGCTTACTCGGCACCAAGACACTGAGTACTGTGGACAATACAAAGATCTGACATACGGTTCCTGCAGTCCCCAAGGACATTTACAAATAACTAACATGCAGCAGGAAATTATAAGTATCCCAAGGACTGTGAGTTTAGGGGAGATTACATCCAGCTACAATTGGAGTTACTTGGGGGAGGGGGGGGGAGTGCTCAATGATAACCTCATAAAGGATATGCAAAGACAGGACAAAGGCAGGGACTCTTGGAAAAGGGAAAGTAAGGATAGAAAAACTGTAAGCCTCGGAGCATGTTTCAACTTCTTCAGAGGACAGAGCACATGGAAAAGCCGCCTTAACATTAGCTATAGTCAAAATATTTTGACTACAAGCATAATAATTAATAATCAAATAGGTTAAACCTAATACACCTCTAAAGTAAACCAATTAGTGTAACCACAAGAAATTTATATACAAGGAAAATCTACAAACTGATGTGAAATTACTAAGGTGCACTGGAAAATAACACACACACACACCACATACAGAAGAAGAAATCCTTTTTTGTTTCTTAATCATAGTGAGGTGTGGGGAAAATGTTAATTTAAACTACAGCTTCATCAGCTTACTACTAGCACAGTTTCCTTTTAGGCTGTCAGTATAATGCTACAGGATGATTCCCTGGCATTTTGTTCTAAACCCACAAATGAGATGGTTATGTGACCAGCTGCAGCTCCCTTCCTGCATTTCAGAAGCTCTTGGAGTCCACACACTTGCGGCTCTGTATAACTTCACACAAAAGACTGGCAACTGGCCAAGAAACCCCTGCCACGGTGTATATTCCCCCAAGGTCCAAGATCTGCCATTTAATTCCAATTCAGCCGTGAAATGACTTGTACTTTAGCATACTATACCAATATAAAGCAAATTAAATTCCAGTCCTAGTTAATAAAGGTATTCCTCTAAAATGCAATATACAAAGACATTAAAGTATATAGTCTATATTTTTAAAGAGACCTACGAATATAATTCCACTCCATTAGGAAAATTCCAAGATAATTCTTTAAATTTCCTCAAAGAGTTACTTTTTCCTCATAATCTTACCAACAGCGAGAAAACCCACTGCACACAGAGATTTAATTGTATTTCCATATTTCCCCATTAAATATTTCATGCACATTGCTAACTAAAAATCAAGAAGAATGAACGTTTTCAACATCTGGTGCATACAGGTTGACATGACCTGCAATGATGACTGTGAGACAGATACCTCAAGAATGATCTTAATTCCTGCTGTTTAAAGAGAAATACTTACGACCTTACAGAAACACATGGTTCTGTCAATTAGATAGCTATGTCATTCTAGTATATAAGTGTCCTCAGGGAAAGGGGGGGAAACTAATGAAAACACGTTAACAGCTTGGCTAATACTTAATTTTTGTAGGAAGGGGTGTTTTATGAGAGCAAATAATAATAAACTCGGCACTAGGCTCAGAAAATCTTCCCAAGATTTTCACTTTTACTGATGTCTTCATGTACCTCTAGTTTGTCTCTCTTCCATGTCCAGACATCTTCCACACAAAGGATCACTGAAATACTAGTGCTCTACAGGACTAAACCTTACAATGTTTTATTCAATAGCCACAGTGTAATAATGTTAAACCTGTAAAAATGTAAACTTGGTAGGCCACTGACCTTTTTTTCTTCCTTTTGATGGGACACCTTTCTACAATACAATAAGCAGCTAAGGATAATGTAGAAAGGATTAGCACACAACTTCAGTAGAAAGTGTGAATCAAAACCAATATTTGGACTTTAAATCCCCATCCCTGCCCAGTATTGCCTTCAAGTAACATTCGAGGGCTATATGGCAAAAACAAAAACAAAAATACAAGGGCTCCTTTAGATGGCTTTTTTTTTCCTTTCAATGTCAGAAACCTTTTGAATTCAGTAAAATGATTAAAACCATAAAGAATTATTCATAATTTACTAGTCAAGGAAAGAAATTTGCTTCACGCCAAAGTTAAAACTGTAAAATACACTGACTCTGAGCATACTGAATGCATATGGATTGTTAAACATCACTTGTAACCTGAATAACCTGTTCAAAGTAGTCAGAAAAATTCTTACTTCATTGTCGTTTACATGAAACAGACATGTATAGTATATTACAAAGAGAGAACAGGGCCTCCAATACCCTTTTAAAGGATGTGACACTTAAAAAAAAATTAGCTTGAAAGGCTACACACAAAATTCTTGATGTTTATCTACAGAGTAGAAGAGGAGAGTGGAACTGTGTTGGGACAGGGGAGACTGTCAAAATAATTTTTTAAACAAAGAAGTTAAAGATTATATAACAAAACCTTAACTGGACAGTAGGAATGTGGGTTTTTATCATATTATAATAATAATATCATATTATTCTTCAATTAAAAACAAAAAAAGAAAAGGAATTATAATGAACAACAACAAATACTTTTCATTTCCCTGAAGCTTAGTGGGATGGGAAAGAAGAGGAGACGAAGAGGTTGAAAGGGCAATTTAAATTTACATCTGAATGAATAAGGACAAGCATTCCTGATAGCCCCCAGTCCTCTGTGAATTCCAACAGGACTAAAAGGCAGTAATGGCAGTCCCCACTGGCTTAGAGACTGGGGGGAGGGGAGAGAGTGAGGAAGACGAGAAAACGCCTGCACACACATAGTAAAGGAATAGCATTTTCAGATAATATTAATACTTACCAGTATGTACTGTAGCTACTGCAATCCATACATACTGTGTGCTGAGCTTTTTCTTGCTTTTCTGATTTCTTATGGTTGGTTAAGGGTATTTGTGCATCTTCATAATGTTTTTTTGCATGGCCATTCACATACCTTACAAAAATCAAATGAAAATGTATTTTAATCTAAATATTGCTTGGGAAGTTAAAGTAGCAGATGATAATAAAATTAGATGGTTATCAAATCAGAATAAGAAAGAATTCCTTCTAATAAAGAGCATTCAATCCTGTAAGAGCATTCATCACTTAGTGATTTATTAAGCTGAGTACTGAAAATATGCTTTTTTGCAATCAAATACAGTCAACTTATTATTGTACACAAGACTAGGACCAGGCAAGGAAAGGTGTTATCTATGCAAACCAGTTTCAATACCATTGAGATTATCACTTATCAACTCCTTTGCTGATAATTCTGCTATATAGCCTTTTTCTTTTTTTTTAAGTTTTCTTAGGCCGCTAACTCCCAACTCAGCTATTATCAAAGACAAGCTTTGCAAACTAAATTACTCAATCACTGCCCACAGGGCCATAGGCTCTGCTTAGGTTGCTGCTTAATATAAAATATGAGAGTCAGATATGGAAACAGGATAATCTCCCATCTCTTTCTCATCAATATGGCTTCAGATCTTTCATTTGAATGCCTGAATAATCATTCCACTAATATGGAAATAGGTTTGTTTAAAAGAAATCCAAACAAAACAGAAATTATCTTAAGCTTATATAAACTGTAATTTCTTCCTACATGGGCAAAGATAATCAAAGGCTGACTACAGTCAGAAAAATTTTCTAACACTTTCCAACTCAGATTTAATAAGTCATTTTATCACAAAAAGCAAAATGAAACTGAAATAAGGGTTCATCTACACCTTCACCTAAATACTGTACAAGGCCATAACTGACCACTACTTGAAGACCCTCATAAAACAAAAACTTCCCAGTTCCTAGAAAGCTGCCAATTTATAGAAAGTAAGGCCTAATTGTAAACTCAGAACAGTCAAAACAAATGTCGGTTAAATAGTGCCAAAGTAAACCTTCTCAGAGAGTTACGGTGACATTTTTGTCATGATGTGCCTTAACTACACAAGGAGCAACACTTACCTTGGGGAAAGTAGGATAGTTTGTGGTAAGTAAGGAGGATCAACTCCAAGCCTGGCCTCTCTACCCCAGGAAACCTGGAAGCATCAGAGGCACTACTAACCTCAACTCAGAGTTTGATCACGTTTCCCCCCCTTTTTTTCACTGTAATAAACATAACCAAGACTTGTGTGTAGGGTCTTCTGTTCACAAAAGTGGACTAAACTGAATTTTTAATTCCATTGTATATATGGCTGAGTTAAAATAAAAATAATGATTAAGAGTATAAACTCAGGGCTTCCCTGGTGGCACAGTGGTTAAGAGTCTGCCTGCCGATGCAGGGGACACGAGTTCGTGCCCCGGTCCGGGAAGATCCCACATGCCATGGAGCGGCTGGGCCCGTGAGCCATGGCCGCTGAGGCTGCACATCCGGAGCCTGTGCTCCGCAATGGAAGAGGCCACAACAATGAGAGGCCCGCATACCGCAAAAAAAAAAAAAAAAAAAAAGGTATAAACTCAAAAATTAGACAGCCTGGGTTTTAGCAGGCGTTATCACATAATGGCCTGGTGAGCTTGGGTGAGTTACTTAACCTCTCTACTTCTGTTTTCTCGTCGATAAAACAGAGATAATGGTACTTATATCTCATGGGTTGTTAGGTGATTAAATAACCCATGGCTCAGAATGCATGAATGAATGAATAGTGCATATAGTTCCTTTAGCCACCATACTGTAGCCTCCAAATGTACTAGATATTTCCATGGTTACTGTAATAAATGTCAGTGATAAAGTAAGAAGTGTATTACTGCTAACATTAAGATTAGCAATGTTTTGGCTAATATTCAAATACATGTCAGAAGTTAACAGTCATGTATAAACTACCACATAAAAATAAATATTTCCCTCATCTAGTTTTAGATTTTAACCAATTTGGTCTAAAAAGGAAAAGTGTCCATATACTTGTCACAGATTTTTTAACAACAATCACAAAAAATAGGAAAAATAAAAGGGATGGTGTCATGAAGACCAATACAATATATAACTCAAATATACTACTGATAAAGTACATTTCCTAGTTTGAAAGAATATTCAGTTTAAGACTCCCCTAAAGACAAGTGGTCTAAATTACCAAGAAAATCGTCATTCTTGGCAATCAACACCCAGGATTACATGGCAAAAGAAAATTAGCCAATCAGCTAGGTAAAAATGAAGATCCAAATGCAGGTTACTCTCATTATCTGTGTAATCTACTTAATTATATTTCTCTGAAACCATGTCAGATTTCCAAATTTAAGATTGCTTACAATTGGAAACATACTACCTACAGAGCCTAGAAAATTTTCAATTTATTTTTCCAATACCTACTTAGAGAACTGTTTGTTGCTTGCTGTTAAGAACACTAACGTCTCCACTTTTTGAGAGTATGTCAGGTCTTTTTGTTGACATATGACCTTCCAGATTTAGGCTGTAAAGCACTATGAGACAACTGGAGGATAGAACTATATAAATTTTATTGCATTATAATTCTCACCTCTCAAAATCTAGGAGAGGAATCTGTCTCTTCAAGTGCAGAATTTAAGTGCTTCTACTTTTCTTCTTTTTTAAAAAAAATGTTATCTGTACAAAGTATTTTCAGGTTCCCCAAATCCTAGAGATTTCAAAACCACAATAACCACAATTAAGATATGCAGTTAACATTTTCCAAAAGTACTCTTAAGTGTACATGGAAAAATAGACTCAATTCCAGGACTGAAAATGTGAAAAATCAAAAGTTAACTGAACAAAGATGCTCTCTTCATGCAATGAGGGTTTACGAATAACGATGGGGAAACTGTCCAAATAAATACAATATAGATTTCAGCCTGTGTGACTCAGTATGATTTCCCACCTCCTTGCTGCTAAGCTACTAACTTCTGAAGTAAATTCAAAGCAGATTTTCTAAGCTAAAAGAGCCACAGAAATAAATGTGCTACTACCAGACACACACAGTTTGATATTTATTTGAGTTTGTGCTAGAAGAAAGAGTTACTAAAGTATTTAAGTAACATCATTTTGAAGCCAAGAACTGGGAGGAAATGCTCAGGCTTGAACTGGGTTTGGGAGTGTTAAGTTCCTAGAATGCAAAAATGTCTTAACGGAACAATGATATATTTGGTACATCTTAGCATAAATAATGAACTCCACAGTGAGACCATTTTTGAGGGAATTCCTTTATCTGTTTTGTTTTCAGAAGAATGATGTGATATCTGGGATTTGATTCAAAAGTCAGTAAAGGTAGGGAAGAGTAGGTAACAGGTGAAACAAAATTGGCCACATGTCAATCAAATATTACTAGTAGATTGTCTTGATCATCAAATTAATTCTTCTGAGTATCAATAGAAAGGGGTTTTCCCCCCTAGATTTTCCCCAGTTCCATCACTGAACAAAGGGATTCTATTAGGAGAGGGAAGAAGCCCCACAGAGAATTACGTACACGCTATAATTAAACAACGGTGCTAAATAAATCCAAATCAATAAAACTTTGACATAAAGCTTAAAGGTAAACTGAAAAAAGCAAGTTGGGTAGTGAAGTAATAAGCATGTCACCTACCTTCCACAGTGGACACTTGAACAAGTCAAACAGACCCAGGGGCTTTTGTTGGACCGGCACACTAATAAAAAGAAAAATACACAATATGCCAATTGTATCACGTTATTTCCCAGTTTCTCCCCTAATCTGTAATACCACATCCTGTGATTAAGTTACAAATTCCATGGCTGCTTAGGTGTACTGAAATCACAAATCCTTGCTTTGTGAGTGCATTTACACAAAACGGCTGCCTAATTAACGTTATACTGAAAGAATCTAAACGCATGTCCACAACAACTGCTCATATTAATTGCGGACTCAACTCAAATAGTTTAACCACAGGTTAAACACTTTTCTCCTTCATTACTTATTCCTTTTTTTTTTTTCCAACAGTCTCTGACAAGTTAAGGACAGTCTATTTTCTCATCAAAAGCATTTTTAAGGAATTCCCTGGCAGTCCAGTGGTTAAGACTCCACGTTCCCAATGCAGGGGGCACGGGTTCCATCCCTGGTTGGGGAACTAAGATCCCACATGCCGCATGGCGCAGCCAAAAAATAAATAAAAAGACAAAACATTAAAAAAAAAAGAAGATTTTATAAAAACCATTTTTAAGTCTAATTTTTAAATCACATGTCTTTACCATACAGATCATATACTAGTATAAATGACAACTCTTTTAGTTTATTTAGTGAGAGGCATAACCTAAGGATACAATTCGGAAGACTAAGCCCAGTTCTTCCCAAATTAATGTCTCAAATGCATTAAATATAATTCTAAATATGATAACTGCATGTAGTTCTTGCTGAGGGTATAATCAGGACATTAATTACTTTAGTTTGAGTAATATAGGGACGCGGCAGGCAAAAAGGGGTATGAAAACTTCTAAAATACTGATTACAATCTTGCTTGCTGTTTACTTATTCAATTTTAAGCCCAATAAACATAACAATGATTTTAAAAGGGAAGGGATATAAAAATCACCCGGAACAAGTTTTTTCAAAACACGTATGTTCTACTCAGGCAGAGACATCTACACTGGGGTGGGTACAGAAGGACAAAAGAACATGTCTATTTTGACAAAAGCAACTTCCCAGGTGACTCCCTAGTACAACCACTTGAGAACCACTAGTCAGCCTCCTAGGGGCCATGAGAGGGGCACCGCAGCACATCCACACACTCAGGATTATAATAAGTCCACTGCCTGGCACACAGTATATGCTCAATGAACAGTTGTTGAAACAAAGTTTAAATTTCTTAGTTTAAGATACGAAGCTCTTCCAAGATCTGATCCCTACTATGCTATATTGGTCCTGTCTAATCATACATCACAATCGGCCTTTCTCATTGTTAAGAAAAATTAGCCAAAACTGGAAATAAAGTGAATCAAGAACTATAAGCCCTTTCAATGTATAATAAAACACATTGTATCATGAATATCCCAAAGATATTTCATTATAATACCATTGTCTGACCTGCTGTTTACTATTGATTAGGACCCAAACTCTATGAAGTTACAAGTGAACTTGTAGATTTTTATTTGGTAGAGATAATATCTGTCTGGCAGACTCCAAGGCCTATGGTTTTACTACCCTGCAGGACATTAATGGGTTTTATATCTAGCCTAGCAATTTACTTCAACATTCACTCTTCAGTGTCTGCATTCACTCAATTCCTCAAATGCTCTTGGAATCAGCTCTACCATCCTGCTGGTTCCCTTATTAATGAGTTAAATAAATCTTTGACATACATTCATTCTACATTTGGGAGGGGAGGAGAAGGCAAGGAAGAATAGGAGAGTACAGTGATATACTGCCCAAGGGCCTCTGCCTTTCTGCCCAGCACAGGGCTCTAACTATTTTTGAATGAGAAAACTTTCAGTGGCAAAAATCCCCTTCCAGTTAGCCAAGGGCCTTACCTTTCCTTAGGGCATTACATTAACTGCTAGGGCCACCCTGAAGGCATTTTAGTTTTTTACTCAGTTGGGTCCAATTTTATTATATGTGCATGTAAGTCACATGACAAAGGCGAATAAGAAGAATGCCAAACTGCTAACAGCAATTATTTTAGGCAAGTACATGAGAAGACTATTGTAAGGGGAAACTGTTGGCTTTTTATTTGTACACCCCTGTGGTATTTGATTTGTATCAACAAAAATATGACATCTTTATAGTTTGAAAAGAAAGTCCTATAGAGTATATTTTTAAAGGGAAAAATAAATTAGAACACAGTTTACTTGAAACAGATATTCCTGGTCTGCGATATAACTTGAAGGATTAAAAAACTACAAATATTATATAGTTTTATTCCTCCAGCAAACCTTTTTCTTTTAGTAAATACTAAGAAACACTGTACTCAATCTGGAAGAAGTTTAATATTAACCTGAAATAAGTAATTATGTTGTAATAGTGAGTTTAGGCCCAAGTTTTTAGTCATTTACAGGTTTTTGTTTTTTGTGTAATTATGGGAAGATTTCCCCCCCTCCTTTGAATGAGGGGGGAAAAAAAATCTAGAACAAAATCACTGTTACTCTGGTGTGTTTCCTACCAAATGTTCATTTTTCCCCCGATGGCTGTAAAGTGTGTGTATGGACAAAAAGTACATACAATTTTGTGATCTAATTTTTCCACTATCAGTATATTAGATGCATTTCTTCATGTTACTGAATTAGAACAGTGTACTCTAAATCTAGTCTTATAAAATCTCAATTACCTCATAAAGTTTTATCAGTTCTTTAATTTCTTAATTTCAGATTTTCAAAAAGATACCCTAAGCCTGAGGGGAAGAAATGGGGAATAACTGCCTAATAGGCACAGGGTTTATTTTGGGGTGATGAAATGTCTTGGAACAAGATAGAGGTGGTAGTTGTAGATGTACTAAATGCACTGAATTGAATTATTCACTTTAAAATGGTTAATTTGGGGAATTCCTTGGCAGTCCAGTGGTTGGGACTCGGTGCTTTCACTGCCAAGAGCCCAGGTTCGATCCCTGGTTGGGGAACTAAAGATCCCACAAGCCGCATGGCATGTACATAAATAAATAAATAAGTAAATAATACTACGTTATGTGAATTATACCTTGATTAAATAAATAGGTTCTTAAGATAGGGATGAGGAGAAAGAATAAAAGGAAATAAAATAGTATTGACTTTCAAAAACATCGGAAAGAAGTGACTGTGCCTTTTACTAAATCTCAGAAAAGCCCTCACTTTCTAAGTTAAGAAATCAAATTTCTTTTATCATGAATATTTACAATAAGAAAGTTAAGACTTAACGTGTGATAAGACAGTTGGTCTTGGCTATTTAAATGACGGTACTCTCTGAGGGCTTAATAGTTTCACACCAGAAGAACATTTGAAGGCTAGGAAACTACAGAGAAAAGGGTATTATGGGGCATTCTGAAGCCACTTATTACACTGCTTTGGGGAATATTCACTCTGTGTATATATACCTTATCCAAATTATAAACCTTTAAAGTACCCAAGACAATTAGAAAATAGAAGGAAAAATACTGGCTTTAAATTAAACTCTCAATTATTGCTACAAATAGAACAGGTCATAGCATGAGTAAAAGAATACCTGCAGTAATCTTAAATGCATTTATTTTAATCACGTTAATCACACTTTATTATAAAAGGTAGTCTCAGTTTATAGACAGATGGGTTTCAAGTTTATCTGTAGGGTGAATACATTTCCCATGGAAACTGCATTAGAGGTTTGCAGGCTATTTTATAAAACTGTACAAAAAGCATAACAAAACGGATAGACTATATCGTGTGCGTGCATGTGTGTGTGTATAAAACAAAACCATACACAGTCAATAAAAATGTTTTTAAGCTATAAATATACTATCTATTCAGCAGAACATAAAAATATTAAAATGAAGGGTTTTTATTTTTTAAATCTTAAATGCCGGTACTTGAGAGAAAGAGGTTAATAAGGTTGGAAACTTGTAGGAGTTCAAAAAGATAAGTCTGAAAATTTATAAGGGCTCTTTTTATTATGCCTAATTACACTTCAAGGTGACATCATGGCAGGGAAGGCATGCAGTATATTTCTCACACTGTTACACGTGGCCGCAGCAGGGTCACTGGATGTCATAAACAGAAGTCTGCTCCTCTTTCACTCAGATTATGAAATTTCCTCAAAGTTACTCTCCTCCAGCAATCTGTCCCATACGCTTAGATTCTTCCAACCCCGAGCTCGGGTTTCCTCTCACAGCTCCTGGGCATCTCAGCCTGGGGGGCTGGTACTATCCAGCTCCCTTCACTCTCCTCCTGCTGCTGTAGCCTCAGAACTCTCCTCTGGCCCTGTCCTTACCCTCAGCCACGAGCTCTGCAAGTTGGCAGCAGCACCCCTTTGCGGGGAGTGGAGAATGTCGATCCTCTCCTAAGCTAGGGCCATTTCCCACAAGATAGAAGCTCTGACACAGGTTGGGCAAGGGAGACAGGTGAAGTAGGCCCAGCCTCTAAAACACGCTCGCATTCATGTCTTCTTCCTAAAGCCCCCAAAAGCCTTAACCCTCCTGGAAACTAGGAAGGGACAACTGATGGAGCACAAAGGCAGAGGGAAGGCATCCAACTGATCTACAAACCAAAGTGGTTTTACTCCCTGCTACTCCTATGCAGGAAAGAACAGTCTGCTCCTTTACCAAGAGACAAGAAGGGCAGAAAACTAGGGAGTTCTAGGGGACTTCCCTGGTGGCGCAGTGGTTAAGAATCCACCTGCCAATGCAGGGAACACAGGTTCAAGCCCTGGTCCGGGAAGATCCCACATGCTGCGGAGCAACTAAGCCCGTGAGCCACAACTACTGAAGCCCGCGCGCCTAGAGCCCGTGCTCTGCAACACGTGAAGCCACCGCAATGAGAAGCCCGGGCACCGCAACTAAGAGTAGCCCCCACTCGCCACAACTACGGAAAGCCCACGTGCAGCAACAAAGACCCAGTACAGCCAAAAATAAATAAATAAAATAAATGGGAAAAAAAAAAAGAAAACTAGGGAGTTCTGGGCTTAAAGGGGCCTATTTACACACGAATATCTAGGTTGTGTTCAGAAGGCAAAATGGTATCCACAGCGAATATAAAT